CTATAAATATCGATAAAAAATTATTTGTTTGGTAGAAAAGCTTGAAAATTTAATACAAGGCTTCTATTATATTTTTACAATAGCAATTTAAAAATAAAAGAAATGCGTAGTCACAATTTTTTTTTACAAGGATTCAAAGTTTGAATTCTGACAACATACGTAAAAATCACGAAAAGTCATAAATTATTTTATGCTAGAAATTCATAAAAAATGTTCCTTTTATATCTAAGATTTGAAAATTTAATACATAGCTCCTATCATATTTTTACAATAGCAATTGAAAAATAAAAGAAATGCGTAGTCACAATTTTTTTTTACAAGCATTCAAWGTTTGAATTTTGACAACATATGTAAAAATCACGAAAATCACGAAAATTCGCAAATTATTCCAAACTAGAAATTCATAAAAAATTTTCTTTTTAAATCTAAGGTTTGGAAATTTTTAATAATCTATAATATATCCTAGACAGATAAACCATCTTCGCTTAGAATCGTTTTTCGTATACAATGATATAATATCATTGGATTCAAATTTAATTCCACCCATTACAGTAACCCACTTGTAACCTACTGTACAGCAGAGCGACATCCACGACTTATCCGCATTTTTTAAATTGTGGGCTGCACAATGAGTATTATAAATACTTTAAATAATATATTATTATTGAAGTGAATTACTTAAATGTATACGCTTTTAAATTCTTACATTTATATTAATATATAAAACGGAATAAATAAATTATCAATTAATTCAGGTATGTACAATAATACTATAAAAAACTATTATAACACAAATATTCTTTTTAAATTTAATGATAAATAACTATGATAAACTTGTCAATTGAGATATTTCATATTTGGCTTATTAAAACAARCATACTATTTTTCTCTGTTTGAGTCACGTTTTAAATGTGTACTTAAGTGAACCAGATGAATTTTGAACTTTCCTACTTATTTCCCAATCTACAAAGGCACGATATGGTCAATATGCATTGCATTCATCTAAATATGTGCATAAAAATAGGTATCATATTTTATCAATTTTATGAATTGTAAATATTTCTTGTCCAAATAGATGGGACAAAAAGTTACACACTTTTTATGAACTGGGAAATATTATGCTTTAAGGGCATAGCACTGTCGATATACATACAGGGTGTCTCGCGACGATACCCATTGCGATATCTCCCGAAATAATGGAGATATCGAAATTCTTGGTTTGTAAAAAGAATCAAAGGGATAAGAATAGTTATTTCATATTTTAGTGTTATGGTAAAAAAGTTGAAAAATACATTTTTTTATTTATTTCCAAAAAAATTGACTGTATACATTTTGTAGAGTTTATTTTCTGAAAATATTGACGTTTCAAAATTTTATTTTCATTAATTTCCTGATTTTTAATTTTTTTTTTTAGTTTCGAGAAAAATTGTGAATTATTAAACAAGGTATCAAATATAATGTGATCCGCCACGCCACGCGGTTTCTCGTACGGCCGGCCAAACACTTTCAGTGTGCCTAGTTGTAATCATATTTTATTTTTTCTAAACTCTACAAAATATTATAAATCAGGAAATTAATGAAAATAAAATTTTGACACTTCAATATTTTTTTGGAAATAATCAAATAATAATTTTTAAATTTTTATCAAAACATTAATATAAATTTAAAAATTAAATAATTGTAGTTCTTATAATTGTGAGTCTTAGTACAAAACTAGAATTTTTATATCACCATTATTTCATGATATTGCAATGGGTAAACTCTCACGGGAAATGCTGTATATTATACGTTGTACGCACTACATAGTACATAACATAATACATTCATTTTATATCAGGTTATTCAAATAAGAGTATTTAAATAATTATTGTGTATCTTTTGTAAACTTTTCAAATTGTTGATACTATATTAATTTAAATTGAAATATATTTTACAAATTTGTTATAAAGAACGAGGTGATCTGTTTAAGAATTACACTCAATATCCTGGTAACTTATGACTTATTTTCAATGACATAATATAARAACTTTGAAATAATCAATGTAAAAAGTTAATGGTTATTATATATATATATATATATATATATATATATATTATATTCCTATAAAATATTGAGAAACATAAAAAGTTTTTAAATTTACATAGGTAAAATTAAAAAAAATTGGTTTTAAATTAGGTATAACTTATAGCTCATAAKAAATTCATAAAAACATATGCGGAAACATCAAAACTATTTAAATCATATTTAGATACGAATATAAGTAAATTTTATGTTCAAACTTTTAGTCTTTATATTTAAATAACCCACTTACCTACACCTATATTACTCATACTAACCTAACCTACCAATGGTTAACTTTTTATACGTATATTTCACTAATATTTAATAATATGTTGAATTTAAATGTAAATTTTATTTAATATAAATGCATAATAAATGTTTTAGGCCTTTGTACACGTTTCCACTGCGTATTGTAATTGCAATCGACAAGATGTCGAAGAACATTTATATCCCATTCCTGCAGACCCAGAAAAAATTATTCAATGTGTTGATTGTCTTGATGAAAATCTTCTGGAATCTATAACACCAAAGTAAGTTTATYTATTTATAAATTAATACCTATTGTAATTTTTTGAATGGACAGCTTTATATAAAAATGTCTTATCGATATTTAAAAAAAAAGTAATATTTATCTTTATTATCAAAGTAATAAGACATTTTCTCCTCAAGACATTTACTTCTAAACCATTTTCAGTGATGAAATTTATGAACTTCAAGTTCAGCAACTGACTATTGACAATCCTAGCCAGAATAACACAGAAATTACGATTGGAGTAAATATTTCAGGAGATATTCATCAAATAATATGATTGATTAGTAACATTTTACGATGAGACCAGACAGTTATTGAGTGACATATCATGTATAAATAGGCGAATTGTGCAGTGTATATTTAATCAGTATTTTCTTGTAATTAAAATCATTAATTTGTAATTCCTAATGACAAAATAAAATTATTGAGACATCATGTGGTGGTGAAACGTTTATTTAGGTTTATTCATTTATTCAAAATAGTAAATTAATAATCATTTTTCATTCTATATCCATACTAATTTTTTTTTGTGATTTTTTCTATTATTAGGTACTAAAAATTAATCTAGAAAAAAAATTTCCCAAACCTTGATGAGAAAATGTCCTAGGTTATATTAGTAAAATAGCATTATGATTTTAATATCAAAAGTTGTAATTTAATGTACACGGCATAAATAGTTTTAAGTATATTTGTGAGGCCAACAAATGTTTGGATGTATAACAAGTATGAAGTAGATATGTATTTTATCAGGTTTCTCCAAACTTATTTTTCAAGGGTCACTAAAAATATGAAATGATCTTAGCGGGCCCAACATTTATGATTTTCAATTTTATGAAAATATAGGTATATACTTTAATATGGTCCCTTTAATTTTTTTTATAAAATATTTTTTTTATATAAAATTAAATATACTTGGTATTATTTTTCTAAATTGTTGAAATAATTTTTTTTATTAATGAAAAGTATGAAATTGATGTTTTTCTGCTAATATTTAATTAAATAGAAGTTGTATGCCACTAGTTCCAATTTTCAAAATTACATTGTTAATATTTGGCTGTATTCGGCCTACGGGTTGTGGTTTGGAGACCCCTGGAATATATTATGATTTATGATGGAATGAGTAATATCTTTAGGGAGTTGAAGCCGGATTTTTCAAAAGTTAAAACTAATGTAGATTTTACCAATCTAAACATTAATTTTGTTTGTTATAATGTTTCCAATATATCTAAATTCCTTATCAAAAAATAAACCTTAAGGGGACTGGAGGGGGCTTCAGCCAATAAAAAAAAGTGACTTTTAGACCTATAAGCTTGACAAAATTGGAAGAATTTGATTTGAAAGATTTCAATTTTGAAAACGGATTATGATTGATCCAAAAGTTTACTAGTYTACTAAATTATTGTTAGTGTCATAATGAAAAATGTCATATTTTTTCGGTATTTTTATTTTTGTATATCACAGGTGAAAAAAAAATATTCAAAATCACATCGATCATTCCCTAGTAAACTTGTTGATTATTCATAATTCGTTTTCAAAATTAAAATCTGTCAAACCAAATTCTTCCAGTTTTGTCTAGCTTATTGGTCTAAAAGTCACTTTTTTATTGGCTGCAGCCTGCTTAAAAAAATACACGAACTGTAAAAAATATTTTAAGAATAGTTAATTATATTAATAGTAGTTCTACATGATCGTTGCATTTTAAAGACTGAAAAATTTCGATGAATCATTTAAATTACTTAGATAATGTATATTGAATAAAATTAATAATTATCTTTGAAATAATTATTTGTAAAAAGTGTGTGTGTGTGTGTGTGTATGTCCTATCTTGAGGCCCAAGACTGAAGACAATGTATAATAATTACTATTAATTAATTATATAAACTATATAAACGTAATAACTAATAACTAATAAAGGCCATAACATTTTTACAATTTAAAATTTCATTTGGAATATATTTGATATACAGGGTTATTCATCAAGCATGCTCACCCCCTTTTTTTCTTAAATAATGAAGTTATTCAAATTCAATTTTTGGAATCTTTAAATACACTCAAAAATCATATTTTCAAATACTTGAGATTTTCTGTACCACCTAAAGAGTGTCATGGGGCGATAAAAACTTTTGTTTTTCAAATGAGAACCCCCCCCCCCTTTTACTATAAATTATTTAGCAGATGAGTTTTTTTGTGAATTTTGATTTCAATACATCAAAATTCTAATGAGTAGTTTTTGAGTTATTTAACTTTGTATTCTAAAAATAAAGGGTACTATGCCTCCATGGTTTAGGTTTATAAAATATTTGGTCTAAGGTAGAATTGAAAATATTAGTCATTAATATTAATCTATCAACATAAATAATTATTAATTTGTAAAATTGAGTATCTTAAACACTAGTTTCAATAGTAGGTACGTCTATTTTATACTTTTATTTAACGATTTTTAAGGACTATTATCTTAARAACAAATAATTTAATAACTAAGAAACTACTCACTTGAATTTTTAATCAGGTATAAAAAAATTAAAAAAAAAATATCTCCTTAAGAATTTACAGTAAAAAAGGGTGATTCTTATTTGAAAAACAGAAGTTTGTATTACCAGAGGATACTCCTTAAGTAGTATAAAAATTCCAAAACTTATAAGTTGAATAAATTCATTATTAAAGAAAAAAATGGGGATGAGTGTGCTTGGTGAATTACCCTGTATATACGTATAACTTTATATACATGTTCATAACACTTAAATAATATAACTATAACGTCTATAACAAAATAGATTTGAGGAACTTCTTTTAGTTGGTCTTTTTCAAAATCACAATCGCTTTAATATCAAAAATAATCTGTAGGTATTATTTAATTAAAATAAATAATTTAAAAAAAAAAACATGCGTATAGTAGCTATTGTATAACTATACTGGACCACTAATTGGACRTTATAAGGGGCGGACAGCTAAATACGTTTATTTGTATTGTGCATGTTAGCTGTAACTACGGTATTGACATTTCTGTAAATTGGACCTTATTATTGTATATGTTTCATTGTAAAACATTATATTGTCAGATGGACGATTTAAAATTAGACTTTGCTTAGATAGTTCGTCCAAACTGATTTGAAGTGTCTAATTAAGTTATAAACATCAATCAGATAAGTTGAAAAAATAATTATTTATCAAATCTGCAATTAGTGCAACTATACGGCCAATTATTTTTTAAATTATAAGAGCCTCTAAAGCTGCTCAGAATTCGGGGTTGTCAAATTCATGTCTCAGATCATTCACTCACTTGTTTACATAAATTAGTATAGAAACATACAACAATGTTAATTTATAGTCCGAGGAAATAATATTGAACAGATCTAAAAGTATCATAATCTTATTTATGTATATTATCTAGATTTAGTTTCTGACTTCCTAACTTGTGACATTACATTTTTTAGCCTTTTATCCACATTTAGTCTCACATGTCAAAATAACAATTCGTATACCAATAAAGTCAATACATTTACAGTATGGCAACTTGTTTACTAGATTATTATTATTATTTAATTATAAACAAAACTATAATAGTCCACTAGATCTATAACTTAAGCTGGTCGCTTTGTCGGTTGTCAAAGATGGCATGTGGATAACTAATCGATAAAATAGTATTATTTATTATAATATGTATAGCAATATTTTTTGCTTTTGCAATTTATTTGTTCTTTTCTTTTCTTCCGTTCAACGTTGGCATTTTAATTGGATTAGTTTTTCAGGTTATCATTTTATTTGAAAATTATATTTAAATAACATAATTATGGTAACACGGCGTTGTAACTATGCTATTTAGTTACATAAATATCCATGGATCCATTGTTCAGGTATGCCAAAGAGTGTTGACAATAAACACGAGAGCTATTTCTAGAAAAACATTTAAAATTATTCAAAAATCAAACTACGGTTTGAACCGTGAAAGATCCGGCGATAGAAGTTGAGACTATCTGTCCTCCTTTCAATATCAGGTGCTGATGGCTTGCAGGAAAATTCATTTTAAAATCTTTAGCTCTTCCAACCACAATATATTCGATACCTTCTATTCTCTATATATTACCTGGCGTTATACATCCAAGCCAATGCCCGTCCTATCAATTGCAACCAACTCCCTTTCTAATTTTCACCAACATGTTTTAAATTCATATAAACTTCCACTCTATGATCAACCTTATGACTCTCTCCTCTTTACCCCCTCATTTCAAATTGACAATTTTTCTAATTTTTCACTCGTGGAACTTAAATCTATGTCTCCTTCTTTTGTTAATAAACTTTTTTCCAATTATCTCAACCTCAATTACCCTAACTTCACTATCATCTATACTGATGGTTCAGTGTCTCCCTTATCAGCTGGCTTCTATATTCCCGAACTTCACATTTCTTTCTTTAACAATCTCTCTCCGTCGTCCTCTTCCTTCACTGCTGAACGTTATGCTATTCTTGAAGCCCTTCTATTCATTTCAGATTTAGCCCCTAATAATTATTTAATTGCTTCTGATTCTATGTCCTGCTTACAATCTCTTATATATAATCCATTTTATTCTAAATTATCCCCTCTTGTTTTTCAAATTAAATCATATATATGTATATACATACGTTCTCAAGTAGTTTAATCATCAAATTCAATTTKTATGGATCCCTAGCCATATCGGTATACATGCTAACGAAACGGCTGACGGGCTCGGCAAAGCTGCTTCCAATACTATCCTTCCTACTTTTGCACTGTTACYTTRGTCCGATTTTTCCCCTCTAATAAGTCGTCCACCAGTCTTTGGTCTAACCTTTGGAATAATCTGCCAGACCACTTTGCAACTAAATATAAAACCATTGTCCCCTGTGTATCTAATAAAAAAAATTTGGTTTTAGAACCTAGACATACCAAGGTCTACCATTATCCGTTTTAATCGACTCCGTGTGGGCCATTCGCTTCTTCCAGAACATGCTTATAAACTTGGTCTAAATAGCTCTCCACAGTCCACTTTGTACCTTACACTCAACCGAAAGCGTCTATGACATCTCTCATTTATTATTCGACTGTCCCTCATTATATACCAAGCGTACGTCCTTGATCAACTATATTAAGTCTCTAAGCATTCCACCCACTATCCCTTCTATACTTAATACTAAGACTGAGAAATTGTCATAAAAAAAATAATTAACTTTCTATTGGGAGTTGGCTTTGCAATTTAAGGTGGTTACATTATCTTGTTTTATATTACCTAATTTTCTATACTTTTTCTAGTTATCAATCTTTTATTGTTTATATTATATTAAGCATAGGCGTGCGCAGGACTTAGTGGTAGGTGTTTCTGAAAATTATAGGTATTTAATAAGTCAATATACATTATTTATTTGATTTATACAAAAATGTAATTTATTTTATACAGTACGTCAATACATATTATTATTATTATTACAATGCTAGACGTCTTTCCCCGGTAACTAATATTTTAAATTCTTCAATGACATCATTGTAGTCAATTTGAGTCAATAGGTCTTGCTTTACAAATAATAACAGTAAAGAATTCGATTGGTTCGAGAAAATCGATTGGTTGTTTATTTTATGCATTCTGTATAAATTTAAATAATAATAATTTACAAATTACCACAATTGTTATTTAAATGACATTAGATTAGATTAGCAATTTATCATTATCACGACAAATATTAAGCCGGTTTTTATGGAGGTACCAGCACAGAATTATGTGGTACCAGTTTCATACATAGATTATAGTCCGGCATGTCATGTTATTATCAACAATAAAGCATCATATCACTGTGGCCACACTACAAAAATAAACTTATTGTAAAATATTTCAAAATAATATATTAATGAATTTAATTTGTAATGTTTCTTATTTTGTAAATTTTAACTTCTAACAGTACTAACTATTGTTGGTTAGAAAAATAAAAATTGTGAGTGTTTGCAGCCCGCAGGTGTTGCTATAGCATACCCTGCAACATCCGTGCGCACGCCTATGATATTAAGTCTTTATTTTCTGTATATTTTATATCTATATTACTATATAATTGTCGAGCTATTATAGTTTTATTATACTATGTGCTAATTAAAAAAAAAAAAGAATTTTATATTTTACATATCATTATTTTTACATTGTATTAAATTATTATTATTATTATTATACATATTAAATATTAAATATAATATAATTTTTATACTATAACTTAATTGTCTGTCATCTTATTTTGGACTTTTTTATTTTGCCAATATTGTTTTTGTATTTTTCTATGAATTTGTCCTGTTTTGGGAGTACTATAGATCATCTTCATGAAACAATAAGCACTTTTCTATTAATTTGGCCGCATCAAGTGCTTATTGAATACTTGGTATTATGACTTCGTCAGGTTGTGCTTAATGTGCTTCCTCTTCATTTTCCTTTTGCTCCTTCTCGCCTTTTGTTACTGCAATTAGGATTTCTTCATCAGTTAACGATATTGTTATAACTAGGTTCTCGTCTATTTCTACATAGTTTTGTAAATCTTCAGGAGTAAAAGTATGCAGAGTAATGAACTGAATAATTCACTCGTTCAGTGATATATTATATTCATGCTCAAATTGTTATATTTCTTCTTCAGCATTGGCAAAACTACTTCGAAGTCCGGCATAACAAAAAAAAWTCCGTATAGTTTCTGCTGTTACCTCTTCCCAGGCTTTACTTAAGAAGTTCATCGCATCAAGCATATTGATAGAGGCATTGCATCAGATTTTATAATTTCTATCAATATTTTCTTTGTATAGTGGCCTTTCAAACCTTTTATAACACTTTGGTCCATCGGTTGCAAAATACTAGTTGTGTAAGCTGGGAAAAATATAATTTCTATGTTCATAAGATTAGATAGTTTGGGATGAGCAGGAAAATTATCCACGAGTAATAACATTTTCCACCCCATTAACTCTACATATCATTTTCTTATTTCTTCTTCAAAAAGTATTGATGTAATCCATGCTGMCTTATTTGCTTTATAAGTGACTGGCAACCGTTTAATATTTTTAAAACATCGCCAGTTTTTTGATTTGTCTATAATCATAATCTTTCTTTTTTCAGTGCCACTCATATAAGCTTCTACAAACGCATTGATACATTCTTTAGAAAGATTACCTCCCACGCGTTTTTTCTCTTTGCATTTAAATTTTTTATCAGGCGTTTTTCGTTGTAAAGAGTTTCGTTATAGTGTTTTCACTGTATTTCAATATTTATAATTTATCAACATTTTGATTTTTTAGATGACAATCTAACAAGTTATTTATTTATTTTATTTGTAATGCAAAAATGTATATTAAGAAGCCGCATTAGTAGTGGACACCGACCTTAACTTTTCACATTTTCACCGGCCTACCGAGTTTTGATAACTTGGTGGTCCAATCCGGGCCTGCTTCCAATTGCTCATGGAATACTATATTTGGAATATATAGCTATGTCAAAATAATTCAACATTTGTTGCTAAAAAAAACATCGAAAAATAAAAAATATTGCATAGTAGAAGTTTCCCAGTTTTATGTATTGAAATTTTGATTATTAACCACCTATCTAAAAGTTAACTAATTAAAGTTTCCTTTATCAAATTACCGAGATATGCTTYAATTTAATAACTATTTGTAACTAATTAGTTTTTCATTATTTATTTTAATTGTTGTCTAATTTGAAAAACATGTATAATGTTTTCGTACACAAATTTATATTGTTCTTGGACAGGTACCTACAAGTATATTGAATATCCATGGAAATTTTTAATACGTACATAAATTCATATTGTATATTTAATTGAAGCTAATTTTTGAAATTCTAAACTCAACGAAGACATACTGTTATATACTTTTAAAAAATAACAATATTATTAGGAATAAATATTTTAATAAAATATAGAAACTATGCATCATGTAAAACATTGAATATGATTATTAGTTAGGTAGGTACTGATTATCTCAAGTGAAAAGTATTGGTTTTGTTTTCAGGATTATCAATGGATGGCCAAACACCTACACGTTCACGAAAGCATTAGCAGAAAAAATGCTGTTACTACAAGGTGATAAATTACCCATAGTTATCGTCAGACCTTCAATTGGTAAGTTTTCAGTTGACATTAGTGCAGGGAATTGTAATATATTATAAGTTCATGATAAGAGTTTGTAATAATAAAATACACCATCTAATTAAAAACACGCATTGCACTTAATTATTTATTTATATATTTTTTTTCTTATTATTTATTGCATTTTTGATTTTGTTTTGTTTTGTTTTTATCTACGAACACAGTTACGGCATCGTGGAGAGAACCGATATTAGGATGGGTRGACAATTTAAATGGGCCGACTGGTCTACTGGCTGGAGCCGGCAAAGGGGTTCTGAGGACACTGCTGTGTCACAAGGACTTGATTGCTGACCTGGTCCCAGTAGATATATGTATCAACTTATTAATATCAGCTGCCTGGTACACGGCCACCAATAGGTAACATTTTTACTATGATATTATCAGCTTTAGTTTTCCTAAAAATGAAGTCTAAAGTACATTTCATTGRAATTAAATAAACTTATGACGTGTTTTGTATAAATTCTATTTAATGGATTTTCCTAATAACGATACTATTTTTACGATTGTCTGTCGTATAAATCCCTGAAGTAAACAGACATACAAATACCTAAATATAAAAATTAAATTAAATATATTATTATATTGTATAGGTATATACAAAATCTAATGTCAATTTTGATAAATACAAATTACTAATGTAAACTACAACAAGCAATTTTATTATGGTATTGTATTTCATTTGATCCTTAAAATGTATACACAGTGGTCGCCGCTTATTGAACTCACTTTGGGTCGATTAACCAAATGACTCAAAAAAATTTTAAAAATGCTTAAATTAAAAAAGGTATTTTCTTATAAATATGTATTGAGATTCAAGGTATGTATAAAAATAAAAATGTAGCTATACGCAATTAAAAATAAAATACATACRTAATTAATAAAATTAATTCGTTTTTTGATAAAAATCCATCTAATGTTTATTGGATTTTTCCTTCTTTGGCCAACTTCATAATCATAAWATAGATAAAAGGTACCGACTTTTTTATAACCATAGATAATATAAGAATGGATAGGACATTTGTATAGTGGCTTCGCAAGAGGTTGCGGTCTTTTTTGGGGAAGAGAGAAATTTCAATATCTACGAGAGAGATAGACTATAAGAGTTCTTTTTTGAGGTTAGGTTACAAAAATTGATAATTTAAGATTCTACTGTTATCTTTGATAAACATTTCAAATAACAATATATTTTACATTTTACACTAAAATWTAGATTTATATTGTYTGAAAATTGTATAATTCTTATTGGTATATTAAGTATAAACTAATAACTTCTTCTCTTTTTCTGATATCTAACTGTAGCTTATAAAAATTTGTGATCAGGTAAATCCTTATATATTTTATAATACGTCGGTGTATTGTTTGTCATAGCAACTCAACTATAAATGCAGAATTAAGTTTTCATTGTTAGTATTGGGAAACCAACAGAGCTGGACAGTGTTTAATTAAAAAGTTAAAAGTTAATTTTTAATAATATTTAATTTCACTATTTAAAAAAAAATAAAAAAAAGCGGGTAAGTTGGTATAGCTCTGCTGTACATTGGGGGTGGGGTGGACCTCTGACTAAGGTAGGTTAAATTTGAATGCAATGATAGGTATCATTGTATACGAAAAACGATTCTAAACAGAGACGGTTTATCTTGTCTTGGATATATTATAGATTATTAAAAATTTTCAAATCCTAGATTTAAAAAGAAAATTTTTTATGAATTTCTAGCTTAAAATAATTTGCGAATTTTCGTGATTTTTACGTGTATTGTCAAAATTTAAATTTAAATGCTTGTAAAAAA